ATTACGAGTTGTGCTGTTATAAACACTGGTATGCACTCTGACATGATGTCTTTAACTCTTTGAAAGATAACTACAAGGGGAGCAACTGTGTCAAATGGAAAGTCTAATTTCATTCTTTTGAAGTATCCACACTGACTTCCATAACAGTACTAGTTTATATTCCCACCAACAATGTAGATGGTTCCTTCCTCCCACCACCGGTCTCATCAGCTTTTTCCATACAGTAAAACCTTGGATTAGGAGTAACTTGTTCTAACAAGATGAGTAAATGTGATGTTGAATGTCACGTGATCACAACTGGGCCAATGGTTCTTCTCCCTGCTCTGTCTCCTCTCCCCACCTTGCCCCTCCTCTTCTACTTCTTCCTCCCCTTTTTCTTTTTCTTTCTTCTCCCCCTTGCTTCTTTTCTCTTCTCTCTTCCCTCTCCCTCCTCAGCCCCCTGCTCCTCCCCCCACTCTTTGTAGGATTGTGGGTGATCATCTCCCAATAGCAAGAAGGGAAGGAATCTCCTCGCAGAGCAGGAAGAGAAAAAGGTGGAGGAATCCTTCCCTTCAAATGAGATTAGGGAGATACGTAAAATGTGGGAAACAGTGCAAAATTTGTAGAAAAACACCACCCGAATATGGCTGTAACAGTGCAAGCAACGAATTGTTTAACAACAATGCAATTTCACATTTCCCCAAATTTCTCAAAAGGAGGTAAAAGCAAGTGTAATTGGCTAGGTTCCTTGTCAAAATTTCACAAAAAGCAAAAGACTGCACTGAGCCTATAGAGAGTAGCGATTGCATTAGCAATAATAAAAGTCATCCTGCCCAATAACCTTCCTCTCTCGTCTCCCTCATACCAGCCAAAGGTAACTGCAGATTTTTTTCTTTATAGTTGGCATTTTCTTTATGGTTTTGTATTATATAACAATATTGTGATCATTTTATATTAATATTTTTGGGCTGTGGAATGAATCATCTGTTTCCATCTTTCCTTTGAGGAAATTCATTTTGATATACAAATGCTTTGAATTACAAGCATGTTGCCAGAACAAATTGTGCTCACGAACCAAGGTTTTATTGTATTTGATTTCTTCATGGGAGTCATTCTTTCTGGAGTAAGGTAGAATCTCAGTGTTGTTTCAATTCCCGTTTCTTTAATGGCCAGAGATGGTGAACATTTATTTCATGTATTTATTGGCCATTTGAACTTCTTCTGAGAAATGAGCTAAGATAAACTTCTTCTTAAATTGCAGGTGTTGTGTATTTTGTTCCAGTGACTCCAAAGTGACTAAGACCTTTGTGTTTCTACTCATGTGTGTTCCACATCTGAAGGCCCAGCTGCCCACTCTGGCCACCCCTGGCTCCCTGGCCAGGTCTGACTCTTCCCAGCCCATGGAAGCCAAGTGCACATCCCCAGTGCCAACCTGGATCCTGCCAGACCAAGGTACCTGCACTCGTCCCCCCAAGTACCCCAGGACTCAGAACTTGTGGAAGTCTGCAGCAGGCTCAGCAGTCGGCGGTCTTCACCCTGACCCCAGCCCTGCAGTTCTGACTGTGATGCCCTGTGGTGAGGGCCCACCACAGGAGTGCTAGAGATCCCCATAAGCTAAGAAAACAGGGATCCTGGTAGCCTCGGCAATGGGCCCTGGCCCAAAGGCAACAGCCAGTTGATTCTGGCTTGGTCTAGGTGACAAGAGAACGAGCCATTCCGTGCATGCTGGCTTCACCTTGGGCCACCAAGATACTGAGGAAGAACAGGGCAGCTCACAGGCCTAACCCTGACATTAACCCTACCTCTCACGATATAAAGATTAACTCAGAATAGATCAAAGACCAAAGAGTAAAATACAAATCAATAACCTTGCCATGGGACAAAATCCTTGTGCTCATGGGTTAGGCAGAGATTTCCTATGGATATCATCAAAGATACATAAAGGAACAAAAAGGGAGAGATTAAGTTTCATCAAAATTAGGAACTGGTCTTTGAAAGACTGTTAGGTGAGTGGAAGGATGATGTGCTGATTGAGACGAAATGTATGTAGTCATGTATCTGGAAATGTTTCTTCAATACCACTCTTATGGCTTATAGCTAGATCTTTCTCTGTGCTGTAAAAGGGTCTCCATGGCAGCCCCGTGGGCCACTCTCTTGGCTCTGGGGACAGGCGGGAAATCTCAGAGCTGCGGGGCAAACAGGAGGCTTCCCTAGTCATATCCTTGTTGTGCTGGGGTCCTCCCTGCTGATGTAGCCCAGGGCCCTGTATCTCCTGGTGGCAGAGGGCACTCGTGGACATGAGAGACCGTGCTCTCTGGCTCCTTTGTGACACCCTCTTGCCTCTCTCCAGATGTCCGGGAGACCTCAGCTAAGAGCAGGGCAGTGTGAGGGCCCCAAGCTGCCTCTGTGCTGGTCTAGGCCTCAGGATGTGGGGTGTGGGTTGCCTGCTTATGCTGGGTGGGCGGATCCGAGACGCCCTGTGTGCCACTGTGCTGCCGCTGCAGGCCTGGGCTGCTGAGAGTAATCACTTCTCCCTCCTCTCACTTCGGCTCTCTGGCATTGTTTCCAGGGTCTGTCACTGTATGCATTTAGCTAGTTCTAGTCTGCTCTCAATCAACACGGAATAATTGTACATTGTTTGTGGGGTACGCCGAAAGGTTCTGACACGTGTACACTGTGTAATGATCAAACCCTACCATGTGCCCTAACTGCGTGCAGCAGGGAGGGAAAGCTCTCCATCATCTCCTCAACACATACGAGCTACTCACTGCCCTTTTCGGGTTCGGAAAGGAAATTAACATGGACACCCAGGGAACCCTTGGCTGGCCTCGGAGTGGAGGTCAACAGGCTGTCACCAGCGAGACTCTCTAAACAATGTTCGTATTCGGTGACGGCAGCAATTAGAAATAAAGCCCCTCTATTTATAAGAACTCCTAGACAGATTCCCCTTCTTACACAGCCGTGAGAATTCATTTCTCTTCAAGTGTCCTAGAACAGGTGTTTACCATCAGGCTGGTCTTTCTGCTACCCACTAGTGGTTCCTATGTCACTCTCCCAGCCCTTGTTCTTCAACTCCCCAACACTTGGCCCCTACTCCCAAATCATGCTTCAGTGTCTACACCATCTCATCATCTATCTAGAATTCACTCCCGAGAGCTTCTCCATACTCAAAGCACAGATTAGAGCAAGCAGGGACCAAATGGTTTGGTTTTGTTTTTTTTTAAGTACACTAAATGGTACAAATTGGCCCACGACTATTTACCCTACCCAGAGAAAGCCCCTCTGTTTGCGCAGCTGAATACACCTGACACCATCCTACAATCCCTGTCCCCAGTCCCATTAGCAGTGACCCATTGTGACTATTAAGGGCCCAGGTAGGTTCAAGTGAGAGGGCAGAGGGTGACACGGCAGCAGCTATGTCCAGATGCCCAACTAGATTCCCGTCAACTGGATTATTCAGGGCTTCAGACCACTGGCCACAAGAGCTTCCTGCCGGGGACAAGGAGAATATGCCACAACAGTGAGCTACATGCAACCAGAGTGGGTTTAAGAGCAGAATGTGGCCATGCACCGTGAGGGCTTCTGAAAGCCACCACCACACAGCAGGGAAGCTGAGCATCCAGGAGGCAGAAACAGGCACTGCCACTCAAGCTTTTAATGAAAAAAAAAAAAGTGACAGATGGTGTTTCCTTTGGACAGCATCACGGCTGTCTTTCCAACCATCACATCAACGCCCTGGTCCAGAGACACAGTCCTACTGACCTAGGACTCATCAGTTTCTCATTAGCCCCAGGTCCTAGAAGTCAAGTCCCTAGGGATGCTTCCTCTTTCTCTTTCTCTGGCTGGGCATTGAAGGCAAGAAAGAAGGCAGGTAGTCAGGGAAGAGAACATCGGCCTACCTCCTGGGATACACATTCGTTGAGCCCTCCCTTGCTATGATCGAACAGAAGAAATGCTTTTGACATCATTTTTCCCACGTGGCTCTTCCTGGACCTCTCCCTTCTAGGGGTGAGCACCAGTTTGGGATGCTTCTGCCCAGGCCTAGGATTGACTGGGGTTCAATATCTGGTAAGGCTGTACATGCATCACCAGTCACAGCCAATAATGGGTTGTAGCCAGTGGCTGGTAGCTGCTGTGTCAGGGCCTGGCCCTGAGTGTCTCTGATCAGCCATAAAGGCTGTTATGTGCACAAGTACACCTCATTCCCAAATTCAACCCACCAGCCTGATTTCAGCAAAAATCCTGAAATCTCTAGATCACCCTCAATTTTGGTGCTTCTTAAATTTTTATGTATTTCTTTATTTTTACAGTCCCTCAGTAGAGCTATCCTCAAATCGCAGGGAGGAAAACTGGAACTAAGGGACATACAACTAGTGAATGGCAGAAATGAGCTCACGCCCAGACTCAAGGTGCCCAGCCCTCCCACCTCACCCTCTGTAAGCCCCTGTCGATGGTACATGTTGGCAATGGTCTTATGCCAATGGCTGGATGTGTTGTCATCTCCCTGGTGACATCATAAGCTCTGCAAAGACCATGACCACAGTCACTTCCTTTGCCCAGTTCCATGACTTCTCACATATACATGTGTACAGCACAACACCAGCCACACACTATTGGGGGGGCGGGGAGTGGGGAACAGGGTCTCACTATGTAGTTGAGACTGACCTGGAACTCACTATGTAGCCCAGGCTGGTCTCAAACTTGCAGCAATCCTGCCTCAGCCTCCTGAGTGCTGGGATTACAGGTGTGCGCCACCACGACCGGCCACACACTATATTTTTAAAGACATCTGACATTCAAAGTCTGGACTTACCAAAACGTAAATAGTGGGATGATTAGTCACATTACCCTGAGAGTTAGAAGAAATCACCACTGATTTCCTCTAATGCCCTTCTTATCTGTTTGTACTCCACGGGCTACTTAACAGAGAAATAATAGCTACATCGAGGTGACCAGAAAGCAATTCACTGCATAGAGCTGGGTGTCTCCTACACCACAGCCCAAAGGAAAATGGTACTCACCAAGTGAGGCATCAGGAGGTCGGCCAGGTAGACGAAAGCAGCCCCAAGGGTGAAGCCAACAGCCACTGGGATGAAGGCAAAAGCACCAAAGCCCCCTGAGGACGTGGCCATCTCAACTGCTGGGGCCAGGAGAGACCAGTAAGAGGCTGCTAACATGACCTGCAAAACCAGTGAGCAACAAACCATTAGACATCCCTCGGCCTTCTGAACAGTGTCTTCTGTTGCTCTTGGGCCCAAACTAAACCCTACCATTTCACAAGTAATCAGACCTTCAATCCCACATATTAGGTTTCAACTATCCCAACCAAAAAACCAACCCCAGAATTTCCTCCCCAGAATGTTCTTACTAGAACTAAGCATGTAAGAACCTAATTTGAGTGGGATGGTCGACCTGAGAAGAATGAGTCCAGTTTGCTGTCATCTACCCACAAATTCTGTGGCTCTCAATCAGAGACAGTTTTGCTCTCTATGTGACATGTGGCCATGTCCAGAGAGATCTTCCGTTGTCACACTGAAGGTGGGGTAGGGAAGGTTGCTACTGGCATCTAATTACTCAAGTAGAGGCCCAGGGTGCTGGTAAATATCCTACAGTGCACAGCAAAGGCTCTGACAACAAAGAATTATCTGGCCCCCAAATGTCAGTCATAGCATTGTTGAGAAATCCTGTTCTAATTGAATACTTCTGAGACAAAGTTCTGATTACTTCATAAGTACCACTGCATAATAACAGAGCTCTAATTATTACAGAATTCTTCCTTATGTTGAGCTGAAATCTGTCTCCCGTTTTTATCTGCTGGCTCTCTTTCTGCTCTCTGGAGCACCAAATCATATGCTTTTCCCCCATCACATGTGACTCCCTTTGAAGTATTTGAAGACTACCAATAAGTCAATGTCAGACTGAACTCATCAATTTTCTTATCTCTAAAAGGAAGAGAGAAACTAATATTTACTGATCACCTATGCTTTCCAGAGATGAGGTTTACATTCAATATCTTATCATCACAACAGCCTCAGGAGGCAGATATTGTTTTCTATTGCTATTTGTAGACAAAGAAATGAAATTTGGAATAAGGCAATTTGCGCTTTTCACATAGGCAGTAAGTGGCAGATCCAAGGAACTGACCAAGCAGGACCACAATCAAATCAATGAGGGGAGAAATGAAGAAGAGAAAAATGATGCAGGTCTCAAAATCTCTGCAAGTCACTTTGAAAAACAGTTCTCCAGCACTGACCAAATTAATCACGATGGATGTTCATTCAATCTTACAGATGACGTGGCATCCTTCTTGGCTAGAGCACACCCACCACCCATCGTAAATATGTGAAAATCATCTCCAACATGGAAAATATTGAATGGGTTTCTAAAAATAACTTAATTACACCATGTCTTTAAAAAAGCACCTGCATCACCCATCTCCAAAATAACATTCAGAGCGACAGAGCCAAGTATCGCCACAGCAGCAGTAAAGAACAAATCTATGCAAAACTCTCTGAGTTTCCTTCTGTCCACCATCATGCACATGGAGCCACTTGCTCTGGGACAAATTCTAGCAGAAACCTGAGTGTCACCCAGGCAAAAGTGCACTTGCCTCTTAAACCCCAAGAAAGAATGAAAATGTCTCATCTAAACAGGATGGGAGCTGAGGTTGTACAGTCCAACTCCATGATCCAGGTTGCCATGAAAGGACATCAGAGCAAGCCTGACAACTCCCCACTGCTGCTCACTAGCTTTGGAATCCAACAGCCCCTGGCAGCTCTCCATTAATGAGAACCCATACAGGGAGAGATAAAGACGTCCTTCTTCTACTTTTTAAATTTAAACTGTCTGGTATTCAATCTCTCTCCTCTTCCCTTCCCCTCTCTTCTCTTCTGCTCCTCCTCTTCCTCCTCCTCCTCCACCTCTTCTTCCTCTCTTTCTCCCTCTCTCCTCTTCCCTCCCTCTTCCCCTTCCCCCCCTAGATTTCATGATCTCCTATACAGTCCCACCACCCAAAAGCCATAATGACCAAGGGAAAGCCATGCACTATCCCAAAAGGAGACCCAGCATCCTTATCAGCATCACTTGAGGTACTGCCATATTACTCATCCCATTCTCAACATCAAGCCCAACATTCATAAAAGCTCCCTTCTATCTCTCTGCATCACTGGATACCCATCTTTTTCCCTGTCCCTGTGTGCTATAAGCACACCAAGTTCTCACTGACAAGTCACTCAGTGAGGAGCAGAGAAGTGTGCCTCTTGAGGGAGGGTGTGCTATAACCTGGGATGCTTGAATGATGTACGTGAGCCTCTTCCTTGGGAATCACTGTTCCTTATCTTCAGTCAAATCTAAGGCCCAGTTGGATTTCTTGCTTTTCTTTTCCTTGCCAATCTCCCTGCTGCCCATATAACTGAAAAATGACCCAAGAACAACCTGTAAATAGTATCAGATTGCCTGCCTTAAAATGACAGCAGCACCCAAAGAAAACCTATCTAGAGTGCATGTGTGGGACACAAGATGACCATGTCCTAGTACCCCAAAACCTGGGAATGTTTTACCTTACATGGTTAAAGGAAATCTGCAGGTATATTTAGACTGAGGACTCTGAGATAGTGAGAGGATGCCGGATTGTCTGAGTAGGGCCAGTGTCATCCCAGATGTCCTTATGAGGGAAAAAGAGGGACAGAGTTAGAGGGAAGATGTGACAACAAACCACATCCATTCCATTTATCTTAAGTATCCAGACTGGGTAAATCCATGGAGACATGAAGCAAATGGGTGACTGACAGGGGAAGCAGGAAGTGGAGGAAGGGGAATGACTGCTGACTAAGTATCAGGTCTCATCGGGGTGTGATGGAAATATTTGGAAGTAGATAAAGGTGATGCTTCACAGCATCATGTTCTACATACCACTGAATTATAAACTTTAAAATTATTTACTCCGGATTCTGTCGGGTACTACCACTGCCCCAAGCAGTGTGCTGAACTCTCCAGACCCCCACCGGGGGCCACACATGCGTGACCTGTGTGACAATGCCAAAATGCCAAGACCAATCTCAGGGGCCCTTCTTCCAAGCACCTTAAATCCTTTGACTGAGTCCACATTTACAATGGGAAATGCAGGATGTAAAATCAAGTCTGTGTTTGAGTCTGGGCACTGCCCCTTAGCACTTAGGTACCCTAACAAAAAGCTTAGGCTCGCCACAGCTCAGTTTAGACAATCGGAAATGATGCTACTGAACAGAGTTGTAAGAATCACGTGGCCGGACACAGTGCCACACGTGACTAACCTATCATCCTGTAATTAGCACTCTGGGAGGATGATGCAGGAGGACTGTAAGTTCAGGCCCAGCCTGGGTAACTTAACAACTTAGCAAGATCTTGTCTCAAAATAAAAAGGCCTGAGGATGGTAGCTCAATGTGCAGGGCCTCATAGTAGAAAAAAAAAATCATATAACATTGGGCGCAGTGGAACAAGCCTTTAATCCCAGATACTCAGGAGGCTGAGGCAGAAGAATTGCAAGTTTGAGACCAGTTTGGTCAATTTAGACAGACTCTGTCCAAAATAAAAATTAAAAATAAAAAAATTTTTTTGAGGGTATAAGTTGATCACCACTAGGTTCAATCCCTAGCACTGTACAAAAAAAAAAAAAAAAAAAAAAAAAGTAGCCAACCCAGTAGCTGGCAGAGAGGAGAAGATAAATCAGTTATATTTTGCCTTCTCCCCACAGCCTGAGCTGCTTTCACCAAAAATGCTCTTCCTTCACCCAATCTTGCTTGGCTGCCCTCCTCCAGGGGGCACCCTTTTTCATACTACTAGTTTCATTTTTGTAGTATGAACTCCCCAGTCCTGGTTCAGACCAGGATGGAAGGCGTGCTTTGAGCCTAGTCTTGGACAGAGCAGTTGTTCAGTATCTGTTGCCTACACAAGTTCTCCACCATCCTTGCTAATGAAGGGGAGCAATGGGGGTGGAAAAGTCTGAATGAGAGTGATCAGGAAGTGATTCAACACTCACACACAAATGCCTAACTTTTAAAGTGATTTCTACCTTTCAAATTGAGTATGTTACAGGCTTACACTCCGATGCCTCCACCCCTGTGCAAGCACAGGTTGAGTAATTGTTTAAATGGAAAGTAGTCAACATCAGACTGCCAAACTTTCGTGTGTAATCCACTGATTGAATCATCTACTGATCGAATCACAGACTCATTCAGTGCTGAAAGGGACTTTAGGAAACTACATCGTCCAGACACTTTGTTTAACAGATGGGAAGAGTGAGACCCACAGAGATTCGGTGGCTTCCCCAAGGCCCCAGAGCAAGCTGATGCCATCCATAGCTGACTGTGCCATCCCCAGACCACATCAGGGCCATCCTTCCCCCCCACTACCTGAACTTCTTTTAAGAAATTCTGAAAGCTCTAGAGTAAAAGTCCCAGCCCTCCCCTCATCGAGGAATCCCAGAACCAAAGTCTGGGATGAAGTTAGGATGGTAACTATCAAAAGGACAGCATTCGTTTTGGCAAGGATGTGGTGAAAAGGGAACACTTGTACATTACTGAGCAAGATGTAAATTTGTGCAGCCATTATGGAAAATAATTTGGAGGCTCCTCAAAACATTAAAAATAGAACTATCATATGATCCAACAATCCCACTAGGAGGGTGTGTCCAAAGGAAATAAGACCCATATGGTGAAAGACATCTGCATCTTCATCTTTATTACAGCGTTACTCACAATGTTGCCAAGTACTGAGGTGCTGTACGCTTCCTAGGTTTCCTTTCCAAATTCTTGTTGTCCTGAACAAAGAATTGGACAGGAGACAAGGCAACAAAGTGTTTTACATTGATTAAAGGTAAAAGGAGAGAGAAAAGAAGGGAGAAGTGCTCTAAAAAGAAGTGCTCTGTAGGGTGAGTGTGAGGAAAGAAAGTACACCTCATATGCAGAGAAGGCCACTGTGACAGAAAGAAGACAGTGGCCACAGGGCCAACAGCCCCTGCCTTTTATACCTCCATTTTGAAGTCAGATCTAGATCGCCCTATGAAATCCCTGCTTGCACTCTCCGACTGGTATCAAATGCAGGACTCAGAAGTTGTTCTGCGCATGAGTCTTGACTCTGTGATTGACAGGTCATGCTCATTTGCCCAGCCAGTCTGCCACACCCTAATTTCGTGCCTCACAA